TTTCTCTCCTTGGTGTATCTAATCTTTTGTCAAACACATTTTTGAGTTCTCAAATTCAGTTATTAAATTTATAATTTAAAATTTTTATTTGATTTTTTAATTGTTTCCAATTCTTTATTATAATTCTCCAGCTAATGTTTCTGGGTCTGTTGGCATTCTTTGTTTTTCCTCTTGAATTTCCAGTATTTTGGTCTTATTTGCTTTATGCCTGGTAATATTTTATTGATCACTGAACAATTGTTTGTGAAAAATGTAGTGATTCCGAGGCTATGAGTGATAAAATTGTTTTGCATAGTTTTGATCCTCAAAGGCAGGTTAAGGGAGAGGAAGGTCAACTAAATCTATTATGTGTTTGAACTGATTCAAATCAGAATTTCAGTCTTCATGAAATATTGTCTATTTTTGCTTCATCCTTCTCCTAGGACCATTCCCATTGCTATTGAGTCTATTTTGATTCATACCACCCTGCAGGACAGAGTGGAATTTCCTCACAGGGCTTCTGAGGCTATAACCTTTATGAAAAAATACTGTCACATCTTTCTCCCACAGAATAGTCGGTGGGTTTGAACTGCTGACCTTTCAGTTAGCAGCTGAGCTCTTAATCAGTGTCTAACCAAGGTCCCTTTCTCCTAGGGCTGTTGTTGTTATTGTTATATGCCATTGAGTTAGACCTGACTCATAGGAACCCCTCTTTGGGTTTCTGAGCCATTATCACTACGGAAGTAGATTGCACAACCTTCCTTCTGAGAAGTGGCAGGGGTTGGCATATTTTTCTATAAAGAGACAATTAATAAATGTTTTAGGCTTTACAGGCCATATGGGCTCTGTCACAACTGTTCAGCTCTGTCATCATAGCACTAAAGCACAATATGTAAATGGATGGTAATGGCTGCATTCCAATAAAACTTTATTTGTAAAGATAAATATTGGGCTAAATTTCATCCACAGACCATAGTTTTCCACAGACCTTCTAGGGTATAGCCCTCCTGAGTTCCCCACTGAATCCTTGGCCTATTTAACCAAGACTCCTTCTCCATGGAGGGCCCTGCACTCCAATTTTTGTCTCCTTAGCCCTTTAAACCTACGATAGATCAGCTACTTCTCAAACCATTGGATACAGTTTATGAGTAGCAAATGCTTTGAAGGAAAAAGCAATACCAGAAGTTGAGCTCACTTCTCTATATGTATTTCTCTCCAGTGCCTTCTCAGGTTTCTTTCTTCTCAGTCCTTTTGCCTGGGTGAGTCTTTGATTCTTTTGCAGATTTTTTTGTTATCTTGAATTTTATATCATTTCTTCTTGCCTAAATATCTAGTCCTAAAGCTCTAGTCATCCTGCAAATGTCAGTTTAGGTTAACTTTCTCCAGGAAGTCTTCTCTGACCCCTGAATCTCTTGCCCTAGGTGCAGAATAATGTGTAGTTCCCCAAAGATTGTTCTTACCTCCACTTGAAATGAAATTTAAGTGTTTACCACAGCTCCTAAAGTAATGTAAACTTCAAGGGGCAAGGCTATTTCTATTCCAATCTTGTATTATTAGCATTTACCACGATGCCTAGTACATAATAGATACTCAATAATTGTTTGTTAGCCACGTTGGCAGCTCCCTTAGCTGTTGGCAGGGGGTGATGGGATATTTTAGTTGTGGAATGGATGAATGAATGATGAGTGAATAAAATGTTTTAAATACATGAGCAGTATTTTTTTTTCATTATGATGTTCACATTCACTTGCTCCTCAGTATAACCTTATGAGCTGGGAAGACAATATTATTTCCTATTTAATAATAGAAAACTGGGAACAAAGAGACCAGGAGAGTTGCCCATGGTCTTCCACCATGCTTAATGGGGAACACAGACCTCATCTCTAGATTTTTAGGTCTCAGATCAAGTGTCCAGATTGTATGGCATAGTTTTCCTTCACCTACTATTTCTTTGCCCACTTTCTCTTTTACATTCTTGACCCCTTTATTTCTCTTTCATTTTCCCTCCCCCATGACTAGACCTATCATCAAGGCAACACTCAAAGGAAGCTAATGATGCATTGATTAATGGTGTGGTGGTTAAGTGCCTGGCTGCTAACCAAATGATTGGTGGTTTGAATACACTTGTGGTTCCACAGGAGAAAAGATTTGATGGTCTCCTCCTGTGAAGACTGCAGCCTAGAAAACCCCAGGGGGCAGCTCTACTCTGTCTTGTTGGGTAGCGATGAGTCACAATAGACTCCGCAGCACACAACAACAAAATTTATTGGAGATTTAATCAGCCATCATTTTGTCAATGCAGAGCCTCTAAGCCTAACTTCTCCCTCTCCCTGTGACTCTGTACTAGTCTGGGCACTGGATGCAGGAAAAAGTTGTAACTCTTCCTTTTCAAAGAAATGATGTCTGTAGAAATTCCAGGAGTTTTTGAGAACTCATTCATATTAATAAATTACTTTGTAATCTAAACCTAGCTTGTAAATCCTCATAACTTCTTGTTGTTCTTACATGCCATTGAGTTGGACCCTTCTCACAGCAACCCATCCTTGAGTTTCCGAGGAGTATCACTATGGAAGTAGATTGCCCAACCTTCCTTTGGTCCTCATAACTATATGACAATAAATTACTTCAAAACTGTGTATGGTGCTTTCAAGGTCAGGAATGACCTGCATGTCAACCACCTTGTCAGATCCCTTAGTATTGGCAATGGGGTAATAGAATCCTTTAGCTGTTAAAAGGAGGAAGTTAATATGCAAAAGCAATAATATGATGAGTGAGAACAATATATTCTCTGTGGTTCCTTAAAGGAAATAACTTTGACTATATTTTTAAGTAGCTTGCCATTCCCTTCCATTTTCAAATAATTTAAACCAAAATATATAATTTTATGTGTATTTGTGTAGGGTAGGAAAAAGCCATCATTCATTTTTGGGTCTATAAACTCTCTGCCAACATGTCCTCTAGGGGTCAGAGTCTGGGCAGATGGTGCCTGAAGAGTTTTCTAAGAATCACTTCCTTCCACCCTCATGAATAGAAAAAGAATTCTTTATAGACAAGTGCACAACTTTAGAGAGAGAAAACAGGATTACCGAAGCAATTAAAAAAAAAAAAAAAAACCTAACAAAACACTTCTGAAATTACTCAACATTTTCTAGTTCATAATAGCATATTTGGCATGGCTTTATTGGGATGGTTTTCAGTTCCTATCTTCTGAAACACAAAAATTGTAAGCATTGCATTTCTACGGTAAAGATCCTAACTGCACATTGCCATCATTTTGAATGGTATGCTTTGGTAGCCCTAGGTCCAGGCAAGGAACAAGAAGGAGAAACATAGACCAATGGACCAGAAAACACTGGTTTTTTGTTTTTTTCTTTTTTCTTTTTTGCCCATGATCTAAGTTGGATGGATCATTTAAAAGTTGTTCTTATTCCTGTATTTCAGGAAGCATCCTTTTCCAGTGTATGACCATGGAATCAGAGAAGATCTCAGAGAAACAAGAGGAAATCCTCTGCATCTTGGAAGAGAAATTTCCTAATTTGCCTCCAAGAGAAGACATCATCAAAGTCCTACAGGAGACCCAGTTTAGTGTTCAAGGTGAGTACTGCATCTCTTAGTTCTCTCCCAAAGGGAGATGCTTTGTGTGATGCAGTATTGAAAGTAAATTTGTATGTGCCTTCATTTTCCTTACTCTTGTGCATCTGGAAGATTTTCAGACACATATGTTGGTTCACCTGTAAACAGGTGGCTTGTACTGTGGCCTCTCCCTTGAGGCCTTTGTGACTGGATGTGTGATGAATTCATATGTCTAATGTGCATCCAGAGTCCCTGGATGGTGCACACTGGAAGCACTCTGCTGCTAACCAAAGATTGGTTGACCAAACATACCTTAGATGAAAGTCCTGGAAATCTACTTTCAAAAACAAGCCATTAAAAACCCTATGGAACACAATTTTGACACAGTAGGGTCACAATGAGTTGAAGTCAACTCAATGGCAGCTTTTTTCTTTTCTACAGTGCGTACTCTAAATGCACCCTTACATGAATCTCTGTGCTAAGAGGGTTCTGTCTTGAGAATGTGGCAGGAGCAATGGCAAGTACAATGGGATTTTATGCATCAGTTAATTTTAGAAAGAAATAGTAGAAAAGAAATGGTCAAACTGATGAAATTGTTCTAGAAGTCTATGCTTTGTCAAGAAGTTAATAAGCAAGGGAGAATATCTACAAACATTGCATTTGCTGGGTCAACAGGTTTAGTAATTAATACAATGCATTGAGTATTTAATATATACAGTAAAACCTATAAAGACCAGAACGTGTGTAAAGTAGAAACCTACCAGAGAAGGAAAACTCAAATATTTTCCACTAGAACAAACAACAGAAATGTGGTAAGACTGCACCCTGTCAAAGGCCGAAAACTTGTGAGACCCAGAAAAACACGGCAGTTCTGTTGAGTTCCTACTCTCACCGGTTTCATTCATTGTACCAGGTTCTCATACTCTAACTTTGCATGGATTAGTTCACTGAAATCTCATGACAACCCTAAAAGTCAGGTACTATTATATTCTCAATTTCCAGATGAAAATATTGAGGCACAGAAAGACTTCTTTGCATTCCCAGGTCACATACACCCAGATGGCAAGTCCAGGGCAAGATTTAAATGAAGACAATCTATCTTTAAGGTACAAACACTGAGTTACATGGGATACTCTCTTAGTTTGGAATCCCCCAGGGTCAGAGCCTTAAGCAAAGATGCTAGAGAAAATAGTTTATATGGGAAGTGATTCCAGAAGCACAAAGCATAGAATTTTACCTCAGACTTATCCCACTTGAGGGTTGCAATGATGTGCTGGAAACCACTCACCTGGGTTTGCAAGAGCTGACTGATAAATGTTCAGGAAATTTGTGAGTCACTTGATGTCACATCCATAGCTTGAAATCAGCTATGGAGTATTTATACCACAGAAATTGACAAACCACTATGCATCAGGATTTTTTTTTTGAGAGATGATTATTAAACATTTACCAGCACCCACTGGAATATTGAAGGCTGCTCCCAAAACCAAACAAAACCAGTTGCCCTCAAGTCAGTTGCAACTCATGGTGACTCCATTTGTGTCAGAGTAGATTGTACTACATAAGATTTCTCAGACTGTGACCTTTTGGAAGCAGATCGTCAGGACTTTCTTCCCAACTGACTCTGGATGGACTCCAACCTCCAATCATTTGGTTAGTGGTGAAGCACTTAACCATTTTGCTACCCAGGCACTCCTTAGGGCTGCTCCCAAAACTCAAAAAACTAAACTTACTGCCATCTAGTCAATTCCAACTTATAGTGACCTAAATCAATTCTGACTCATATGGACCTCTTGTTGGGTTTCTGAGGAGGTAAGTCTTTATGGAAGTAGATTGCCCCATCTTCCTTCTGTGGAGCAGCTGGTGGGTTTGAACTGCCAACTTTCTGGTTAGCAGTCCAATGCCTTAGACACTATGCCACTAGAGCTCTCAGAAGGTGTTAATTCCACAGGACTCCCAATTTGCCTCCTGCAAAGGGCCCAGTAGGCTCTGCTGGCCAGAAAAAGCCCTGAGGAAAAGAGACATTGGTGCTGGTGGTTGAGAGTCATGCTGGGGTTCATTGAAATGAGAAAATCTGAGGAAATGTGGGTGGGACATATCACGTATACCTTCTATTACATAGACACATGTATATGTAGCTGCACAATGGTAAGCATTTTATAGTTTTCAAACCCAGACCTAATTTTAAATATCACAACACATTTTATAAATCTTTTTATGCTATAGTATGATAAATTGGGGAGCTCTGGTGGTGTATTTCCTAAGGCATTTGACTGCTAACCAGAAGGCTAGTGGTTGAAATCCACCAGCCACTCTTGGAAAGGAAAGTTGGACAATCTACTTCCATAGTGATGCTGCCTCGGAAACCCAAGGAGGAGTCGCTGTGAGTCAGACCTGACTTGACGGCAGTGAGTTTGGTATTTTTGGATGATAGATTGTGGCCTTTCAGTCTTTGAGCTGAAGAAAACTATTTAGTACCTGTCTGCTTCCCAATGTGCTGTGACTGACAGGGTGTTCTAAGTCAACTGATGTCTTAACATGTATCTGGGAAAATATATGTGCTTTAGCAGGCCTTATTTATTATGAATCTTCTTCCCAAGATGTTAGGCCTAATCAGAGATAATACCGTATGAGAAGTAAATGTCACATTCACCTCCTTTTCTCTTTTTCAGTGATAGATTTTATTAAAGCACATTTGTCAAATATGCAATTCTGGATAATTTAGCCATCCTGGATTATTCCTTTTAGCATTTAAGGGACTCAACCACTCCTATTGCCAGAGCCAATTATAAGGATGGCTAACTTAATTATGATCCTTTTATGGGTCACATTTGTAAAGTGCATTTTGAGTAAAATTATACTGAAAATGTAGAGGCTCACGCAATGTTACTGAAAATGTATTTTGGCTTTTTTTTGGGGTATTATCTTTTTAGTTGGCATGGTTGTGCTAGTTTGTCTTTATCTTCCCAGCCTTTCCATTATCTTGTCCTTGTCTTCCTTGAGCCTCAAGAGTCTTACCGTTGAGTGTTTATTCTTCTGGCCTAACTTGACACTGGCTTCTGGTTGGGTTTGGCCAATGGGAAGAGGTAGAAACATGTTGTGTGTGTGTGTGTGTGTGTGCAGTAGGTGGGTAGGTTTGTGGGAGTGGATAAGGGATATGGAAGGAAGGAGAAGAGAGAGGCAGTAATATTTCTTCCCTGTTCCCTTCTGACTTTGGTGCTAAGTTTCTGGCAGCCCCTCCTACCACAGTTCCAGATCTCTCTTCTTGCTAATCTCTGCGTGTTTCATCATCCTGTATTTTTCTCCCCAGTCTTTCCCATGTCTCTGTGAGTGCTCTGCCATTAAAGAGTCTTCTTTTGAATCATGTAGTTAATGCTAATTTCTACTGGGATCCTCAGTGATGTGTGTATTGTTAGTACTTTAATTTTTGCCCACATGTGTATGTTTATTATGGATAAATGTGTATCAGAGGGGAAAGTATTGAAATTTTCAGGGTGAATTATTTAAATAATCCCCTGATATGACAAAAAAAAAAAAAAAGAGGGGCTCTGGTGGTGTTATGGTTAAAGCATTGGGCTGCTAAACAAAAGGTTAGCAATTCGAACCCACCAGCCTCTCTGTGGAAGAAAGATGAGGCAGCCTGCTTCTGTAAAGATTTACAGCCTTAGAAACTCTTTGTGGCAGTTCTACTCTGTGCTGTAGGGCTGCTATGAGTCGGAATCAACTTGATGGCAGTGGTTTATTACAAAAAATATTCCCCAAGTAAAATATACTGTTTTTTTTCTGTCACTCACAGATGTAAGTATTGAGCAGACAATACTGAAGGATCTAAAGGAACTGTCAGATGGAGAGATAAAAGTGGCTATTAGTAACGTGAATATGACCTTTGAGGTAAGCTACATATGCTTTTGAAGCAATGATACATTTTGCACAATGGGAGCATGAACAACTGGAATACAACATTCACCACCACCACCACCACCACCACATAAGTTGGTGTTTGTCTTGTGCTGTGAATTCTTTTTTGTGATATATTTCACTAGGAATAACTAATACGTTATTAGTTTGAGTGAAAACACTATGCTAAGCCAATGAAAAATACTAAACCTGTGCTCACAAGTTGAGTGCTATTTCACACATACACAAAAAAACCTACACCATAAACACTCATGAGTGTGTGTGTGTGTAACATGTTTAATAGCAATTATGCTGTATATGTGATAAGGCTTACTTTTTCTTTTTTTCTCTGCACTATCTTTCATTGTCCACAGAACTTTTCTAAGATAGCAGGTGTCTTTTGGCCTTTGTATGCTATTTGGATACATATTATTTTGATAATCAATGGTGACAACTCAAGTATTAATCATCTCCTTCCAACTGGTTAAATGAATGATTCAGAGTGAATGCTGCTCTTGCCTTTGTGTGTTTCCTTGGTAAATTATCTTTTGTCTACTTTAGGGGTTTTCAATGACTTGTATGTTAATCTTAATTAACCTAACTAATGGGAACTATATTTTATAGGGGCATATTTGTGCTGGGCTGTAGTCTGCGAATTTCTTTACTGTTGTAGTGCCTTTCTTGATGTACATAGCTCCCAACTCATAGCTTTACCAACTCATAGACTTATGGAGATATTTATAGAGAAAATGTTGCAGTATTAAGAATTTGTCTTTCAGTTTTTAGAATTGTATGCTGCTATTCTTTTTTCTCATGACAGTGATGTCTATATCAATGCATATATTTCTGTGGAATGGCAGACATACATATGGATATCCACACCTCAGAAAGCCTAGGAGTAAGCCAGGTGCTTTTTTTCTGTGGTCTTTTTGAAAAATTTATTCCTGGTTGGCTGACATCATGATTCAGCTCTTATATCTATATGAGTACTGTGAGGTAACTGCCATCACTAAAGATAATCACATTTTGTGGTTATATTAAAAACTCAAACCAAACTCACTGAGGTTGAATCGATTCTCCAAAGAGTGGGTTTGAACCACCAGCCTTCTGGTTAACGTCAAATGCCTTAGGCACTCTGCTAGCAGAGCTCCCCACGGTTACACTTTATGGACCACATTATCATTGGATGTAGTTGGTATATGGATTTGGCTGTTTCTGTGGACTTTCAGATTGGTAAATGTTGATGTGAATCAATACAAGAAATACGGGCAATTTGGGATGCAGTAACTAGATAATCACCTTCAATTAGAAATCTGCTTTGTGTCTAGAAATCCAAGGGAAGCATGGATCTTGCAAGGGTCAGTAGCTCTGAGAATCATGTCTTCTAGTTCAAGCCTTAGGGTTTTCTTTCTCTTTCCCACTACCCTGTCTCCCTTCATTTAATGGCATCTTATTAGGTTTTACATGCCTTGTTTAGAATTCCTTTCCAAATTAACATATAACATCTTGTAATTGCTTAGGGAACTGTCTAGTTAGCAAATTATTTTCAGGCTATCAATATAGCTTTAATATACCTTCACTTATATATTATAGAGGTATACAAATGGCTTTGTCAAATACATTAAACTGTAAATGTTTAGCAGGCTGAATAAGTGATAAAACAATCATCTTAATCCTGACAGCAATTTACACAGAGGTCCAGTAATTAATCAGGTGGTTAAGTATATGTCTGAGAGTGCTATATGAGCTTTCAGGGGGAGGGAAAAGGATACTTGTGCATATAAACAAAATATACAGTTTAAACTCTAAACAGCTGAGTGAAAGCTTTTTGCTTTTGCATAATAGAGATATGAGAAATGGAGAAAGAACTCATTAGTAACGTTGCATATCTCCCTTGATGAGAAAATGCATAGTATCTAATCTGGCAATTGGAAAAATCTCCAAGTAAAGGGCTGAGTTTGGTTTTCTCTGTAGGTTCTCTTGTAGTACAGTGATATTTTCCTAATCTCTACTCATTTCAACTTCCTTTCCCATTTCCATTGACCTAACTTGAAAAAATAATGAAAAAATCCTCAGAATCTTATTTTGCATGTTTTGGAGCATCAGTATAATCTAGATATATTCTCAAAGAAATGTTCTTATTCCCATGACTTTCAAAATCTCAATTGTCCTCTGAAGTATGATCAAAACTTAAACCAAAAAAAAAAAAACCTAACCCACTGCTATCAAGTCAATTCTGACTCAGTGACCCCATAGGACAGAGTATAACTGCCCCAATTTCCAAAACTGTAAATCTTTACAGAAGCAAATTGCCTCATCTTTCCATCAAAACCTAAGTACTTCATGTCTTCTGTAAATTCTCCATCTTTCATTACCACTTTCTGAACTCTTGCAAAATGTAGTCTAAATGACAATTTAAAGCTTAAACCTATACTATACCTTCAATTAATTTTGGCCTTCTTTCATGTATTTAGTCATGCCTAGACAATATTTTAAGTTACTCGAGGGCAATGATGGTATCTTTTACTTCTGTTTCCGTTTTATTTCCTGGCACAGTGCTAGACACATAAATACAAATACTTGTTAACACATATTGATGTTTACAATTTGTTTCTTTGATATATGATTTTTATTTCCTTTTAAATTTAAATAAATCAGCTAGAGAAGCAAAGTCACCTAGCAGCATCCAAGGCAACAATCTTTGATCCCTTCTAGTTTATTCTCAGACTACTCTGGATGAAGCTTGAAATCAAATAGATAAAAATGTACCACATATTTGTAGATAGTGCTGCTTATCCAGCAGTAGAAAGATGAAGTGGGCAGCTTGGTAATGTTACCTGTCACTGGAAGGAATCAACTGGAGGTTCTCTGGCATGCCAGGGATATGGGAAAGAGGATTCCTTATGTTTCCAATGGTCCTTTGCAAGGCCACAATCCAAGCACTGTATGTGTCATAGCCTTCATTTGCCCAATGACCAAATTAATTTTCTTAGGTGGAAATATTCAGGAAATTAGAAGAATTTGTCTCTTTGCATAATTTCTCTGCAGCATAATTTTCAGAGGAAATCACTCTAGTTTGAGAGGCTGAAACCATTGCCTTAGATACATAGGTTAACTCTGACACTTTACAAGTCTAGGAGAAAGCTACAAAGAGCCTTTTCCCTAAAAATCCAAGGACTTTTCATTTTTATTTTAATATATCTCACAAGTGATTGTTGTAATCTGCCCAACGTTGTATAAATTAATGAAAGCTACCATAAAGAGCAAATTATCACAATAATGTTGAATTGACAGGTTTTGCAGTGAGAGATGCTCAATAGATGAGGTCAGTATGAATGTGAGTTTGTGAACTGGTAGAAATAGCCTTTTCATCAGAAGCCTATATAGGTAGAGGGGCAGCTGTCCTTATAGAGAGGACCTTTGGAAGCTAGGTCTGTAGACAAGACACTGCAGTCCCATTTCATATGGTCTCTGGGCCATTCTGAGTCTGACTGTAGCACAATCCTGTGGGGCTTACACATCAGCATTTTGGAATCCTTCTATAATTATTCTTCGCTGCAACTTCACTGATAATTGTTGTACCTCTTGAGCCATTTTCTTTGCCTGGCAATTTATTTACCAGAAGAAAATTTATAGATATCAAAGCATGTACTTAACTGGAACAAACTTTAGCTTTATTCTTTTGCCAGCAGAGTAGGTGGCAATTATGCTTCTTGGGCCTAGCTTCTCCCTAGAAAAGCAGTGCATGAAATTGTTAGAAGTTAGGAACAGCTCTTTCCATTCTAATAATGTACCAATGAAGCAACTGAGATTGCTTGTAGCAGTACCACATTATCAATTCCTTTACTAACACCAAATATTATGACACCTCTTCTACTCACTCCCAAAGGCTGTAAGTCATTAGCATCTATATCCTGAAAAGACAACAGCCAAGTACTGATTTGATCACTTTTAATTATGATCAATTGCTTTATGATTTATTCCTGTATAGATACTATTGGTTATATATACTATTAATGAAAGCAGTCATTTATTGATAAATTTAAAAAGTGAAAGTTAGAATAAAGCTGTATCTGTGAACCTGTTAAAGGTATTGATGGTTCAGTAGTAGAATTCTCTTCTGTTTAGAAGACCTGGATTCAATTCCCAGCCAATACCCGTCATATGCAGCTACTACCTGTCCATCAGGGGAAGCTTACCTGTCACTCTCACACTGGAAAGGTTTCAACAGAGCTTCCCAACTAAGATGCATTTGGAAGAAAGGCTGACTTAATGGCAGCTGACAACAACGTGATCCTGTTGCCTGCTAAGCATATATCAACTGTTACTTACATATCTTTTTAATTTCAAATCATTATTCCTTTAAACAGAGGGTCAGAGAAAAAGGGGAAGACCTTCAACTAGATGGATTAACACAGTGGCTGAAGCATTACAAGGATTGTGAGGATGGCATAGGACCAGGCAGTATTTTATTCTGTTGGGCATAGGGTCTTTATGAGTTGGAGCTGACTCAGCAGCACCTAACAACATTTCTTTAAATGATCTGAAAGAATTTTCAATTCTTGATAATTACTTGGAGCAGGAAGAGTTATTCAGGGCTGTTTTCTCTCTGGGTCTCTGGACTGTTCTGTGCTCTCAGCCTGGCCTCCTCATGACACTCTGCTATTTGAAACCTGGGACAGAGAACACATGGAATGCATTCTGGTGAAATGACTCAGAGACTGCTGACTCATCCTGCCTTGCCCAGAGTTACAAGTCAGGCTGCACCTTGGAGCATTGCAGAGGGAAAAATACCAGCATTTTCCATTAGCATTAGGAACACTGACCAGAATGAATTCCCAAAATCACTGCTAAGCTCTTCCCTAACAAAAAGGGGCATCTTACTCAGTCCTCAGTGAAGTTTAAGTGAACCATTTTAGCCAGTGATTTAAGACTGGTCTGAAGTATGATTTGCCAATTCTGGACACCATATATGCTTTCTCATTGTTTGAGCT